ACTGATGTTTTTGGATTGTGGTGTTGCCGAAGAATAGTGACCACACCATGGACTGCCAAAAGAACAAATCTGTCATGGAAGGAGTGAAGTCGAGGTACTCCATAAGAACAAGGATGATGAAACTCTGTCTTATATACTTTGGGCATGTCATTGGGAAGGCTTAGTCCTTGGAAAAGACATCAAGCTTGGAAAAGTAGACAGTCAGCAAAGGAGAGGAAAATCCTTAACAAGAAGGAACACGTGTCAATGACTACAACAACAGGTTTAAGTAGAGCAAAGATGACACAAGACCAGGTAGAGTTTTGTTCTGTTGTATGTATGATCGCCATGAATCAGGACCAAATCAAAGGCACCCAATAACAAAAAGAGTCAGAACTGATTTAATGATAACAGGTCTGGTGTTTTGGGAGGTTCAAGGAGTAAATGCTTTAAGTGCTTGACTGTTAACCAAAAGGCTAGCAGTTTATCCACCTAGCAACTTTGTAGCAGAAAAACTGGTGGTTTTTTCCTTTAAATGTTGCTGCTGTTAGGTGCCACTGAGTCGACTACGACTACAACTGACAGTGATACTGTGAACAACATACCCAACCTTGTCTATTCTGTGCCTAGAAAACTCTATTGCACAGTTCTACTCTGTCACAGTGGATCACAATGAGTCAAAAAGCTACTTGCAGGCACTGAGCAACAGCAACCCTGATAAAAACAAGCACAAGATAAAGTCCTCTGTCTTCTGTGAACTCATCACCACCTACCTGTCCCAGACTTCATCATGCTGGTCTGACCATGCTAAAGAAATCTGTTGTCCAGCTGGCTGAAGACTGCCAACTCCCCACCCAGCACTCTGCCCACTGCACAACTTTGCCTTCTCAGTCAACTATTACTCAAGGCGAAATGCCAAGAGGCAGACCAGCCAGGGAGCAACAAAACTTGCCTTTTATTCCAGCAAGCATGATTCTCACAGACATCTGAGGGGCCAAGGCAAGAGAAAGACATGTTTCTGGCTGGGGTGATCTTGGCATAAGCCGAGGCTGGCAGATGCCACAATACCTTTGCTGGTAAAACAAAATGCGAAGAAGCTCAGATTTCACTCTCAGTCAACAGGCCCCTTCAAGGAGAGGCCCATCCTGTGTGTCACCAGCCCCTCCCCAGTGCCCTTAGCACTGCCCCCAACACTGGGCCTTCCCTTTAGGCCGGATATGCAATCCCATCCCCCAGGAGGGTCACCCTGCCTCAGCACAGCTCCCATTTCCTGCTCCTGGTGACTCCTCTGAAGTCTATTGTTCCCACTAAGTCTGGGTCAAAGGAAGCCAGTCCCCACCCATGGGGGCCCGCCTGCCCACACCATAGCTGGCACACAAGACTGGGAGCCTGGTGGATCCTCCCACCTATCCTCTTCTATTAGAGGCAGGAGGAGACTGGCGTTCTTGTGGAAATTTTCCCAAGATTCAGTTCCTATCAGTTAAAGGAGCCCACAGAACAAAAGTCTGGAACCGTATCACACAGGTTGTGGCTAGAATCTCCTCACTAGGTGGAGGAACGAAAAAATCAAAAGGCAGAGTTGTTATTTCAGGGAAATCAAGGCAAAACTAGCATTAGAACTTGGGAATTAGAGACTATACTCCCCAGTGACAAAGCCCAGCCCCCACCTCCACCTGGGCCCCTGAGCCTGTTGGAAGCGGGAGGAGGGGGGTGTACTGGGAACAGCTGTTCAGCTCCAATTTCAGAGCTTTAAAGGGAGCTGGAGTCCCAATCTCTGCCAGCAAAGGGTCAAAGAGGGGCAGAGGAAGACAGGCAAGGTAAAGCCACCCTCACAAGCTCTGAATATCCGTCTGGAATGACTTCAACCACAGAAAAGGGAGTGGATCAAGTTGGTGACCAGTGTCCTCTACTTCCACTGGGAATTGTTTTGTGACAGCCACCAGCACAAGACTCCAGAACAGAAGCCAAAGGAGGTTGTGACATACATCCCAGATTGAGAAAGATAGGGGGACTCTTCACTGGCATACTGACCCATGAGAAAGAAGGAGCGTGAGTTTAAAGACCTCCTGAGGGCCCTTTGCAGATTCTACGGTAAAACAGCTCCTTCTCCACTTCTGGGATTTTTACTGGGACGGGGCAGTATTTTTAAAATGTAAAACTTTATCTGAGTCACAAGTTAGGAACTATGGTCCAAGCCAGCCAAAGCCAGCTAGAGGCAGCTGGGGGTCTGAGATGGGTGGGAGACAGAACGCAAAGTGAAAAGTAGGTTCTAGTGTCTGACACTCGTGGGCTATGTGAACTTAAACAAGTTACTGTCCCTCTAGTAATTAAAGAAGTTACTCAATTTCTAAAATGAAAGGTTTAGATCCTGACATTAGACTATACAACAATATTAATCTTCATTGAGTTCACCTTGGGAACAATGCAACTTCCCTGCTTTCCTAAGGACAAAGATTGTGACGTAGGGTTTTGCCCACAGTGATGCTTAATTCATATTCATTATGTAAATATATTAATTAATAAAGCAGAGTTTATTCAAATAAACACTATTTGGAACACTGGCCTCTAGGAAATACTACGTTCCAAGCTGAAATAAGCTTATGAAACCCTGTGTCCAATATCTACTGAGTCCCTTGGATGGACATGGCATGTGCTGAGCAAATTGTGTTGCAAATGCTGAATGTTCATAAACTACTGGAAGATATTATTACCGCTACCCCATCCTCTCATCCCATATTACTTCCATCTTCTCTTCCCATATTATTTATTAAGACACTATGCCTAAGAGCTTAAAGGTGAGTAACTGTCAGGGTTTCCAGAACTGTCTCACTCCATCCCATATCCTTTCCATACCATTGATTCTGCCTTTAGACCAGACTCTCATGTAATCCCAGTCACACCAGTGGTCTAAGCAGGTTAGAAGGTGAAGTGGCTCCCAATAGCAGAGTGAGTGGAAGAAGAGAGAATTCCACCACTCAAGAGAGTTCCTGTCCTTCTAAGAAGCCCTAAAAGACAGCTTTACCATCCTCCTCTCATACTCTGGGCATGTTGTTCCAAGAGGTTAGTACTTGTTAAAAAAGACATTATGTTGGGGAAAGTGGAGGGTCAGAGAAAGAGGAAGACCCTCAACAAGATGGATGGAACAGTGACTATAACAATGGGCTCAATGAATATGGCAAAGATTGGGAGGATGATGATGAGGATGGCACACGACAGAGCAAGGTTCAGATCTGTTGTTCATCGTTGCTGCAATGAGTCATGTTCAACTTGACACCGAACAACAATCATCTTGCTGTGGGATTGAAGAAAGAAATTTGATGTGCTCCACCTTGTCCCCCACATACTATATCACTTCTGCCTGTCTGTCTCTTGGACATTGGGTTTTCTACCTGACCAGTACACTCCTTGAAAAGGTTTCAAATGGTAAGCACCTAGAAGCAAAACCATCTGTACTGCAAAGCAGAAAAGAAGACATGAGGAAATTAAGACTCCCTCCTCAATTGTTTACGCAGGGATTACCTATCGAATCAAAGATAGTTCTTACCTTTCAGACTGACATTAAAGCATTCATGCCATGAACTACTCATTCTTCTCACAAGAGACTCTGTTGATGTTATGTGCCATCAAGTTGGAACCAACTCATAGCTGACCCTCCAGCGGGTTTTCAAAGGCTAGAAATAGAATGGAAGGTTGCCCATCTTTCTCCCATGGATCAAATGGTGGATTCCAACCATCTGCCTTTAGGTTGACAATACAATTCCTCACCATTAGGCCACAAGAACTCTATACAAGAGTGTCTAAAAGGTTGTAAGGATGAAGGTTCCTTTCATTTGACTGATTGCCTGGTCAACTCCAAAGACAGCTGAACCAGTTCAGACTGATATCAATTCTTATTTATTCTTGGGGACAAATTAAAAGCACAACCTACACAAGTCTCAAGAATCAAAATTATCTCTCCCTTTCTGAGAATCATCCTCACAAACATCTCCAATCAACAACCTCTGCCTTCAAGACCAAGAGCTCAACTTTGTTTAGCTTTTTATCAGCTAGGTCTGTAAACTCTTAAATAAGAATAGGATTCACTCTTCCTCAGACAGACAACTGTGTGAAAGAACAATATGTAGGCAGCTTCCTTCCAGATCTACCCAGCCCAGGGAGTGTGGCATCTGGGGATCAAGCATTACAAGCACTGTCAAATATCCCTGCACATAACCGGAGGCAGTTAGTCACAGAAAACAGTCACAGCACAACCAACATCTTCACAGAGAAATAAAGACTCACAGACACAGCTTCATACACCTACTTCGAGTTGAACAGCTTTCTAAAAGGCAACCGAGCACCCTTTCCAAGTAGAATTATACACAGTGTCACTAGCATCGCACTCAATACAACAAACACACCTACTGGAAACTCAGGTGAGTCATATGCGGACAGTACGTTCACATACAAGCAGACCCACACGCACACAGAGGGCACAGGAATTCACTAAAGCCACCCACCTAATCAGTCTTACTGGAACCTCCTTACATACAAGTGCAAAGAGGCTGCCTGCTTTAGGAATCTGCTCCCCAGATTACTGGTCCCCAGATCCACTGGTCCCCATCATGAAACACAGCAGACTTTTCTTCCCTTGAGAGAAGAACCTTTGGTGTAATTTTCTGCATACCCTTTGCATTTAAAACAGTCATTACATCTATGGCCAGAGCGCCTCTGTCTGTTAGAAAAGAGCCCAGAAGAAAAAGGGCCCGGGTACTGGTCTTCGTTTTCTGTTGGTGCTTTCGGCTCTGCCTTTTCAGCTGCCTGGCCTCCCTTTTCCTCAAAGCCTCCAGTATCCCACCACCTGCCTGGGTCGTACCCAACTCCACGGCGCCTCCACGTGCCGCGTTCTATCTCGAGCTTCACCCCAGGAGAGTACTCCACGCACCGCCCCGAGATGCCTGCTCCTCTGGCGAAGCCTTACAAAGTCCCGATCCGACCCTTCTGGTGCACCCCAACTAGTCTTTTCCTCTCCCCAGACTTACCTGTCCCAGTGTGCGGGAAGGTAGTAAGGTGGATGCGCTAAGTCAGTTCCAATGAGTCCGCCCCAGCGCCAACTCTTTCTGCCTCCGTCCGCTTGCAGAGGTCCCAGGGGGCAAGCGATTCCACTGCAGGGGCGACAGAGGGTCAGCGAGAAGAGATTGAGCTCATCCTCACTGCGGACCAGCTGGCAGGGGAGGAAGGCGGGGTGGCGCGTGTCATTAAGTAAAACCCCGGAGCGGCCCGAACGGAGTTTGCTGCAACCTCTGCTCCGGTGGTGCGGCGCAGTGAGTGGAGGAGGAGTTTCCCCAGAATGGAACTGACGGGAAAACACGGGAGATCCCTATTCCTGGAGGAGTGAGTCAACCGGGAGAGAGGAAGGGAGCTCGGGGGAAACGGACCAGGCGCAGGGAGAGGGCGGAAGGGAGGGAGCGGAGCCGAGGGCAGAGAGCGCGCCGGGGGAAGATGGGAAGAAAAAAAGAGGGCAGGACCGAGCGACGGAAGAAGGAGCTGAGAGGACTCTCTAAGGCGGGAAAGGGGAGCGTCGGAAAGAGCAGAGGGAAGCACGCGGCGCACGAGTGGCGAGCGGCCGAAGGAAGGGGCGGAGGACCGTGGCGCCCGGCGCGCAGGCGGGCAAGCGGGCGAGCCGCCGGAGGAAGTGGCGCGGCCGGGCGGCGGGCGGGCGCCACTCACCTGAAGCGAGGACACGGCTGCCGAGCGGTGGGAGCTGGGGAGCTGCTGGCCCTCCCCACCCCCTAGCCTGGAGTTTGCAAGGAGGAAGCCTGGAATGTGCGGAATGAGGGTTGGTATGAGATGCGCGCAGCTGAGGGAAGGCGGGAGGGAGTGGCGGCCGCGACACCGGCACATAGGGAGGAGACTGGGACGCCGCGGCCGGAG